TGAAATTCGGGATTCTCCTGGAAAAATCGGGAGGGTTGGCATGTATGGTTGTGGCAACATCACTAACCGTGTCAAACACCTCAGAGTAAATCATATCACAGAATATGATGAGCTTATGTGGAGGCGAACTGAAGAGGAGGAGTGGACAGGGACAGGTGCTGCTAGGGCGAGACAGACGTCTCTCACGGAGTCCTGTAATCATTATGACGCTATTATTTGAGATACAATAAATAAAATAAGTTTTGTACAAAGTATCGGATCAGTATCGTCGATACCACCCTGAATATTACTTGGTATCGGATCGGAAAGAAAATCAGTGGTATCGCACATCACTACCGGAAAGGGTTACAAAGGCATTTCAAACACTTTGGGACTTGAACTGACCGACCTACTAAAATTACTCCAAGGTTACGTACACGGGTATTTTTGAAAACGGAATTGTTTTAAAAAGAAAATCCTGTTGAGCCGTGCAGTTTTGAAAAAATATCTCCGTCCACATGTAAACGCTATAAACTAAATGGTGACCAATCACAAGGCTAGAAAGACCCAAACGCATAGAAAAATATGCATTTTCAAAAATACCCCTGTACGTGTGGACGTAGCCCATCGACGTTTCATCCAGGAGGTCACAAAAGAACTGGAAATAAAAACCTAAAGGCTTCACTTGTCTCAATTAATGCTCCCTGAAGCCTTTAGGTTTACCAGGGCAATAATCCAAAACACGAAATCATCATTTTTTTAAAAACGAAACTTAATAAAACTTAAGAAGTCAGGAAGGGGCAAAAAAAGCTTTGTGCTCAAAAAAAGATTGGGAGCATAATATTTTTGCACTGCATTGTAAAATAAAGCAATAATGGATTTATTCAGTTACATAGTGGAAAGTGTGGTACTGTTTTACACAACACTTGCCATGGGCCAGGGTGGGGGTAGAGAAGATCATGAAAAAGGTTTGGGGTGAGAGAAAGGGGGACGGAAGAAGAAACTATTGGTCCTCCTTTGTGGATCCATCATTCCCCTTAAACTCGATGTTGCTGGGACAGTTTTTCTTCTGCACTCTGCTCCAGAATCCACTCCTGTCCTCGGCTTTCTTTTCTTTTGCCTTCAGCTCTTGTAAGGTTTTCTTTAGGTGCTGCTTGGCATCTTTAACTTTTTCTTTTTGCTGTTTGGCCAGTTTTACTGTTTGAGGAGCTCTTTAGCTTCTTTTTTGTGCATTTGTAGGTCTTTCAGTGCATTTTTACAGTCTTTCTTGGTCACTTCAGTGTCTGTCATTGCTTTGAGGAATCCCTTCAACTCCATTTTCTCCTCTGCAACTTCATCTTGCACTTTCATCAGTTCCTTCTTGAGATTTTTACTTTCCTGTCTTGCGGGGTTCATACACCTTCTTCAGGGTTAAATTCAAGCCCTTTCTAAGCACTTTCAAGTCCATTTTCAAGCTTTTCCAGCACTTCGCATAACCTCAGTAAGTATGTGAAAATAATAACATCATTTTTGGTTGACTTAAACACCTTTGTTCCCCTTTTGTTAAAACATAGAAAAATGCACTACACAAAAATACTGCAAAAGGAAAACGTTGCCTTATATGCATAAAGTACATAAACTCAAAATGCATATTTCGCTTAAAAATTAAGATGTGCAAATGTGAAAAAAACTTGTTAGAGATATTCACCTCCCATTGAAAAAAAAAACAATCCTACAAAACAAGAAAACTGCACCAAACACCACAAAATAACACACAGTAAGGCCAATATCCGATGAGTCTTCTCATCGGATATTGATGCTTCTTTTCCTATATGACACAAAAAATAGGAGACTAGATTTTTTTTTAATTCATCCCTAATAAAACTGAATGTAAGATGTTTAACTACATTGCTGTCTGTATTATTGTTTAAGTCCTAAATGATCCCCTTTAAAGATATTAATAAAATTCCATCCATCCATCTGCTTATCCTTTTAAGGGTCGCAGGGGGTGCTGGAATCTATCCCAGCTGTCATAGGGCAAGAGGCAGGGTACACCCTGGAAAGGTTGCCAGTCTGTCACAGGGCCAACACACAGGGACAGACAACCATTCACACTCACATTCACACCTATGGGCAATTCGGATTAACCAATTAACCTATCACCACAAGCTGCATGTCTTTGGAGAGAGCCTGGAGAGAACCCACACAAACACGGGGAGAGAACCTGCAAACTCCACACAGAAAGACCCTGGCTTGATGGTGGAATTGAACTCAGGACCTTCTTGCTGTGCGGCAACAGTGCTAACCACCATGCTGCCGTAATAATAAAATTAAATAACATTTATGAAGAAATTTAAAGGGGCATGCCAGTAGGTGCGTATCAGTTTATAATTAGATAAGGTGTTTTGAGCCAATAAGCTGGTTGTGGATCACTGACTACCATGTTTCTTAACATTACCTTACTCCATCTAGTGTGCTACCAGCAGGGTATATGCTAAAATGCTAATGGTTGTTAAAACATTAACCTAATAATATGTGAACTGTAGCTTTTAAGTCAAATGCTAATATTAACAAAAGTGCTGTCATTTGTATGTGGGCTGTCATGAGCAAGTTGTATAAAATTAACATACACAGGAGTGCACTTCAGTGATTCAGCAAATCTGAACTCAAAGGCTCCAAACAGCCTGCAGAACTGTGAACCTTAGGTAACTGTCAATGTTACCTGAAAGGGCCGACCCAACCTATATTTTTTGCAAGAGTCAAACTTCTGTAGCCATGGTCACAAAGGGCTATTAAATGAGTGGGCTATTAAACACGTGTGGGATTGACACAGACACAGATTTATCTCAACAGAGTCTGGATTTATCTACAAGTATTTTAATGATGAGCTTTGAACATTGACTAAATTCATTTTTATACTGATCAAATGAATTTTGAACTAGATCGTGTTATGGATAAACTGATAAACTCTGCCAAAAAAAACAAACATAGCGACCTGTGTTTGGTTTGTGATCACCAGGGGGTGCTATCATACACATTCTTCTTCTGAGAGAAAAAAACAAGAGTTGAAGAAAACATGTGCTAGCTATCTTATTTGCATTTTTAAGCTAGATCCCACGAGCAACAGCAATCATCAACACTTCAATTTACTACGTCAAAACAGTGTATCAAAGTAAGTAATTTAATGTCCACTTAAAGATGTAGAATTAAAGTTATAACCAAATTATAGCACTAATATATCACATTTTTAGAACACAGTGTGCTTTGAGGTAGGAGCCAAAAAGGGTGTAGTTTGTGGGTGTGATCACCCGTGTGTACACCTGTGAGCATGGACGCGCTTGTTTTTTTTAAAAGGTTCCTTCATGTAATGATCTACTAGAGGGTGTGGGGGGGCCACAGCCCCGTCCTCCAGGGCATGAAGCAGGTATGGAGG